GGGGGTGCCTTCGCGCGGGTGCGTGCGGGGCCGGTCCCGGGACTCCTGGTTTTGTTCACGTCTGGCTGCCCTTCTTCCCTCATCCCCTCCCGGGGGAAGAGGCAGCGGTCCCGTCTTGGTTTGCTTTCTGTGCATCCCATGACTGTGGTGTTCTTCTCTTCCTTTTCTAGTGTACTCTGCCTCCAACCTCCTAGTGCTGTTAAATGATTGGATTCTCCGAAAGGAGCTGCAGCCGAGCCTGCCCGTGGTAAGGCTGGAGTGCGTGGGAGGTAGATTTGGGGTACATGCTTTCTTCCTTGCAGAAGCTTTCAGGGAGTGTCTGTAGAAGCTAACAGGCCTTTGCTGCGGCCTCTCTTTGCTTTCAGGTATGTAGAGGCCAGAGGCAACCTCTGAGTGCAGGTAAACAGCAGCCGTGCCCCGTAGCTCCTGGCTTAGAGCAGTGGCCAGAGCAGTCCCTGGACCACAGAAATCAGGCCCTGACTTGCACCAGGAGCTCTGCTGGTTTTTTGAGTGGCTCAGAACTTGAGCTAAGCAAAGGTGTTGCCAAGTAACCATCGCTGCTTCCAGAACAGTGGCTCTGGAGCACTGGAAGCTCTGATTCTGTCCCTCAGACTCTTCCTTTGCTTGTGCTGTCGAGAAAAATGAACTTAAGCACCTTGCTTCCATGTCTCTCTTGCAAGAGCCCCAGGCTGGCTCTCAGCGCTTGTTAGACCCTTTGGGGAAGGACGAGGCGGGCGTTTTTTTCCAGGCAGGCCTCTTCTGTTGCAAGCCTGCCTGCTGTGTGGGTTTGGGTGTAGGCAGCTCTCTGGCTGGAGTGTCAGGCCTGTAACAAACAGAAATGCAGAAGACCTGCTTCCCTGATTGTTGAAGGCCGAAGTGAGTTTCAGCTGCGTTGTCTTTATCGATGCTTTTCAATGGTTTAAATCCTGTGGTTGGCAGCACCAGCAAGTTCCCATGTGGGGAGAGGAGACCCAGTCTGGGGTTTCATGCCTGGGATCTAGACTGATGCTGTATTCAGCAGGCATTGGCTCAGGTCTGGCTGTGGACTCTGGGTTCCCTTCCCTCTACTCCAAGCATACTCCCTCGATACCTCTAACCAGGGAGGAGGTTTGTCGTTCATCCCAACTCTGGGACAAGGAGGAGGAGAGAGTTTTGCCATGGAGTTCAGGCACAGTGCTACGACCTAGGAGACCGTCCTGCTGTGTCAATTGGAGTAGAGGGCAATCCAGGATACAGCTGTGATGTTCTCCCTGTTTCTGGGGCAGCAGCCCTGTGTAATGCTGTAATGTCTCGGTCTGCCCCTGCCTGGAGACAGAGAAGTGGGCCTCTGTGTAGGCTCTGGCCGCAGTGGAGGTGCTGCTTTTTGTTGATGGGGCTGTGGCTTCCAAGGCCATCCGGTGCTTATTTCTGAGAGTCCCGCCAGGCTGTGCTGTGCTTCTGTCCCGCTTAACTCCCAAGCAGAACCTGCATCCTGTCCCTCTCCTCCCCTCTGTGTTTTGCAGTCGCTGCCCCAGCAGAAGCTGCTGACCTGGCTGAGCGTGCTAGAATGTGTGGAGGTCTTTGCAGAGATGGGGACAGCCAGGGTGTGGGGGGAGATGGGCCGGTGGACCATCATTGTCCTCATCCAGCTGGCGAAGTAAGTGCTGTGGGCTGAGGGGAAGGGGCAGCATGCACTCGGAAAGGGGATCTGGAGGGGACTGAGCAGTACCCCAGGAAAAAGCCCAAGCAGGGCTGAGCTGCTGGTCCCTGAGGCTGGGGGAATTCGGAGCCCCACGGTGTGCTGGATACTGTGCCACAGGAGGGGACGCTTACCCCTCTCACCTTGCTGGTTGCCCTGAGCAGACCTGAGTGTTTCCCTCTTCTGTGGAAGCCGCCTTTCCAGCGCAACAGGAACCCAGCTCTGTAGCCTGGTATTGAAGGCTTCCATGTGTTTTCTCACAGAGCCATCCTTCGTCTCCTGCTTCTGCTGTGGTACAAAGCTGGCATCCAGACATCTCCTCCCATTGTGCCACTGAACAGAGAGCAGCAGCAGCCTCTCCACACCCAAGGTGAGAGCCCACGGTGCTGTCATTGTTGGCTTGGTGCCTCGCTGGGCCACATGTCTTGTCCTGCTAGGGATTACTCATCAGAGCAGCGGCTTGGGTGGCACAGGGAACTGTGAGGCTTCAATACACAAAGCTGAGCTGTGTTGAACTTTCCACCCTCTGCAGAGTACGAGGTAGCTTAGTGGCAGGGTTATCCTGCAGCCTGGAAGGAGAGGGTGGAGGAGTCTAAGCCTGGAACCACTGGCCGAACTGTGAGTCGAGCTGTGTGTCCCCTGGTCTGACTGTGCTGAAAGAGATCCTAGGCCTGGGCGATGTCAGGAAGATTTACCTTTTCGCCTTCTGACAGCTCTGCGCAGTGTTAGCCCCTTCAGGATGGTCCGGTTTGCACTCGATCAAACTTTCAGTCCGGTCTTCTTGATGGCACTGTGGGGAAGGGTTCTGCCAGCTCCGGGCTGAGGCGTATTCCTTTGGAGCCTGACCCCTGTGGCTGTTTTCTTCTGCAGACACGGAAGACAACTCCTCAGGGAAGGATCAGACCTATGTTGGCAGGCGTTCCAGCCGTGTTGTGCGCTCTCTCCAGAGCAGTAAGTAGCTGAACCCATTTTCTGTCCTTGTCTGAGCTGTTTCTGCTCTGTACCCTTTTATGTATGACCTGGGTGTGGGCAGTAAAGAGCAGAACCTTGTATTGAGGCATATCCTGTCAGTCACTGGGCCCTGTGGGTAGGGGGATATCAAAGCAATGGGGATTGAGGCACATGCTGCAAGGCTAGCACTTAAATTGTATTTTCCCAAGTGAGCTGTGCAGCGGAGAAAACCCTTCAGCGTGTTTATGCTTTGAGGAGCACGCACCTTATGAGTACCTCTCAGCACCTCTGAGGGTGCTGGTCGGCCACAGCAGTTGCTGTGTGAGCAGCTCTTCAAGGTTTCCCGTTTCACACCTTCACGGTGTAGAAAGCAAGTGGGGTGGTGGCATGGGGAAGCGTGGTAGGAAGGTTTTGCTTGTGTTAGTGGCCCGATCTACTTGTTTCAGCCCCATCCCTGCAGTCCCGGCACTGGGGGTCCCCCCAGCAGAGGGAGGAGTCGCAGAGCCGAAGAGTGGAGGAGATGAACCAGCCTCCCACCCCTCTGGGTCTCCAAGAAACCATCGCAGAATCCATCTACGTTACCCGTCCTCTGCTCCACCGTATCCTGCCCTGGTCGCGTGTGGGCTCACGCCCTTACCCCGGGTGCCAGCAGAGGGTGCTGCGGGCTCGGCCCTGGTGCAGGGCAGTGCCACACTGGGATTCTCTCTCCCTGCCACTGCTCTGCTTAGGCAGGGGCCTCGGGACTCCTCCTTTCTCTTACACCTTGATGGCTAGCCTCAGCCACTGGAGTTGTGGCTGCAAGTCCCCAGGCCCCTTCCCTGGGCCCCCTCAGCACTGCCTCAGAGTGTATTCTCCTGGGCCCAGCAGAGCTTTGCTGGTACCCAGGGGATTGCTTGTCTGCGTGCCTCTTGTTTAGGCATCTCTGGTTCTTTCCATTCCTTGACTCTCTGTTCCTAGTACTGAGTTTAGGAGTGTGGGGCCAGAGATCATGGAAACCCTGGCTCCTCTCGGCAGTCCTGGACATCTCTAGGTCAGTTTGTGGAAGAGTCTTTGCAGGTGCTTGAGGTTGGTGGTGGCTGAGCATCACACTTTCCCCTGCTCCCCAATCCAGGGCAGGCCTTACTGAGAAATACGCACAAGGGGCTGGGCCTGATCTTTAGCTGGGAGATTGACACATTTGGGTATCTTCTGCAACGCTTACAGTGCTCTCTGTTTTGAGCTGGTGCAGCCTGCTCTGTGTGGAGCTGAGAACAGAGGGCATTTAGAAACCCACTTTCTTTTTCCTGCTGTCTGCTGTTGCTGTGAGTTAGCTCTCTGCCCTTCTCCTTCCAGTCTGAGCTTGCTGAGCGATCTGAAAGACCTGAACAAGCGAGAGCGAGCAGAGCTGAGGCGACGAACCATCCTACTGCTGTACTACCTGCTGAGATCTCCTTTCTATGACCGATACTCAGAGTAAGGGGCCCCTGCTGGGCTTTTGCTGAAAAATTTCCCTTTTAACAGAAATAGCATCAGGGGACTGGGTGAGTAGATCTGAAGAGGTCTGGGTGCCTGTGACCAGGTTAATCTGAGCCCTTGCATAACAGCTGCCATTTCTGTTTGTGCATTGAACGTCTGGGGCAGGAGGTGTCCCACTGGACTTGTTTATACTTTCTCCCTTCCTAGGGGCAGGATCCTCCTCCTCCTGCGCTTGTTGGCTGATTACGTGCCTGGAGTTGGCTTTGTCACACGTGAGTGGTCCCCGCTGTTATATCCCTGTTTCTGTTGGGCAGAGAAAAATCAGGGGAGTTGGGCAGAATGTTTGTCAATTGGTTTCCAACCTGGGGAAGGAATTGGGAAGTCCCTAGAATGGTTAGCACCAGTGCACCCTGTACTGATGCTTGTGGTGTTTTAAACTGGAGCAGGAAAGGATGAATTGCTTCCTGGCTATTGGGGACCTGTGCTTGACCACAGTGATAAACCTCCCTGTGCCCTCCCAGGCTGCAGAGCTTGGTCTCTGCCACGTAGGCCTGTTCTCCTGGGCTCCCTTTCTGTGCCTCAGCTGGTGCACTGGAGCCCTGCTTTGCAGCGCCTGTTTTTGAACTCTTTTCCTTGATCCCCAGTCTGCAATGCAGATGCAACGAGTAAACAGGTGCCTAGAGGTTTTGACCCAGCCAGGAGCGAATTGTAAATCAAAGGGCCAAACCAGGTCTGTCTTCTAGTCCTTCACGAGAGGATCCCTTTATTATGGGCCAAATTCCACCTTCCCCTCTTCCCTGCTGATGTGAAGCCTTTTGTGGAGTGGTTCATGGTGGTGATGTGGCATTAGATCAGCCTGGCATCATGGGATTGTCCTTTGGGGAGTTCACAAAGCTGGCTAGCTCAGGAGCCGCTTCCTCCAGCTAGTGATTTTGGAGAGGCTTTGGAGCCTGCATTAAGCCATGTGCTACATAAGCATTTTCTCCCTGCAGCAGTTGCTTCTGTGTCTGCACCTGCTCGTTATTGCTGAGTTGCCTTCCCTCTTTCCTGCACCACAGCAGTGTCCTCCTGACTCACTGTGTGTGTGTGTTTTCCCCTTGCATGTGGCAGAGCCCCCTTCCCACTGGAGCTTGGATGTGTCAGCTCTGAGGGAGTGGTGTCCCACACCATGGCCGTGCTGGCTGTGTTTCACACCCTGCTTGGTCCTGCTCTAATCACTGGCACCACATCCCAAAGTTATCTCCCATCTTCACAAAAGTAACTGATCTGTTCCTGGGTTCATCTGAGTTGTATAACTGGAAATTTGGGATTGTTTGGTATCATAACAAGATGGGGGAGGACATATCCTGTATACACACAGCTTCAAATTCTTGCCTTTCTATGTGCATGATGCCTCTGTTCTCTTGTTTCAGGGCCACTGATGGATTATTTGCCTGCTTGGCAGAAAATCTATTTCTATAACTGGGGCTGATGAGAAGATGATGCTTATTCTCTGCTAAGACCACGGCTGTTTCTAAGGAGGGCAAGCAGGCTGGGGGAGGGATGTTGATAATGTCTAATTTTTCAGTTAAACCATCAGTGAGAAGCTCCTGTTCTGCAGGGTGGGGAGGGGGGGTGTATGTAATTTTTTTAACAGATCTGGCTGTGAATGATGGACACTACACACGTGGAGAGACCCTGGCCACCTCTTTCTCTGGACTGTTCTGTGGCTGCAGCGATGGTGATGGGACAACCTCCTTTTTTTTAAGTACTCGATTTTTCTCCTTTTGTATGGCTGCACTATAATAAAGCCAGGCAGCGTAGTGTTTTTTGGAGAGCATTGTCTCCCACCTCATGGCGCTGAGGCTGACCCGCAGCCTGCTTGTGTTGGCCATGCCTGGCTGATCTGCTTGGAGCAGGCTTGTCTGTCAAATAAACTGACTGAACGGAAAGAACTGAGCTGAAGGACCTCTCTTCCCCTGTTTTCATGGGTTCCCCTTGTATCTGGCTGCCAGTAGGTTTCTCTGTCAGAAAGAGCAGCTTTTGCAGTTGTCTGCCTGGGGGTATGCTCTCAGAAGCCTTTTGCTCTGGCCTGTGTCAGGCAGGGCCCCACACCTTGCTCAGTTTTGACTGTAGCCCCTGTAACTCCAGATGCCTCGTTCAGTCCCCAGTTTCCTGGGGGTTCCCCTGGGGGTTACGGAGAGTGGCAGTTTGCAGGCTGCTTTCCTAGCACCTAATGTGTGCTAAAAGGGTTTGCAGAATGGCTGCCAGCCAGCACTTGCGGGCTTGGCCAAGGGCAGAGATTGAGGAGAAAGGAAAAGATTAATTCAGCAAATACTGCTGTGCCATGCTTAAGGGGCCAGAAGAGGCCTGGGAAGCCACGGCCATCTTTTTGTATCTATCTGCTCTGCTAACTGGTGGATGGTTGAGGCATCCAGCTGCTCGGTGACAAAGCTGCCCAGGACAAAGGGGTGGCCAGCTGGTGGCACTGGATTGCCCCACAGGCAGCTGCCAGCCCTGTGCAGAGCTTGGGAGCTGGAAACTGCTGGGTGCGTTGGCCTCAAGGGGGTGACAGGAGCATTTCTACCTAAATTGTTCTTGAGGGATTCTGGGGCTGCAGGGGTCACAGCCTTCTTGCCTCAGCACCTGAACTAGGGAATGTACCCTACACACACACATCCCTGATAGCCCCCTGCAACTGGGGACCACAGTGCTTTGGCAGTGTGGGGGGTCTGTGTTGCCACCCCAGCTGGCAGCAGTGCCCTGTGATGCAGCAGCAGCCATGTGGGAAAGCCGTGAGCAAGGGACTGTGCTCCCTTCATCTGGGCTTTTAGCAGCAGAAGATGCTAAGACCGCAAAGCCTGGAAAGTGTTGGGAGGATTTGCTCCTGGGGAGAGGAAGGTGCTGACATGAAGGGGTTGGCTCTTGGAGGGGGTGAGAGGGAGGCAAAGCGTGGTGGTGAGGGACAGGAAAGCAGCCCTGGAGCTGCGGCTGCCTGGCGGGATGTGCACCCATGCAGGGAGGGCTGCGAGCAGCTGGCATCACCCAGGCAGGACCAGGCAGCCCAGGACCAGAAGCTCAGGCAGGGGGAGGGGGTAGGCAGCCAGGCAGGGGTGGGGGGCCTGCCTCCTGCCCAACCCCACCCGTGTCCCAGGGCTGCCCCGGGTGGTTCCTCTGTGACCTCATCGTGGAGCTGGTGCCAGGGCATGCCATGGGGGGCTGGCTCCTGCTGCTCACCCTGCTGCTGGGGGCTGCCCTCCCGCGGCCCCTGCGCCAGAGGTGATGGACCTTCCTCGCCCTCCTCTTCCTCCCTGCCCCGGTACCTGCAGTGGTACCCCGGTGCTCCCAGCCCAGGTGTGGGCTGGCACTTGTGGCACCAAGCCCTTGAGAGCTGGCTTGGCTGGGTGAAGACAAGTTGGGTCATGGGAGCGCTCGTGCCAGCGTGGGTGAGCGCTGTAGGGTCTCTGTTCACGCCTGACCCTGGTTATCCTCCGCAGGGTCAGCTACTCGGTCCCTGAGGATTTCTCTGCTCTCCTGGAGCTTCCACAGCAGCACTTTGGCCTGGTGGATGGTACAGTGCTCTCCTCACTCCTCCATTTCCATGCACTCACCCCTCCAGGCGGGTGGTTGTCCCAAGCCCTGTGAGCTGAGCCCAGCCCCTCCGCTCTACCCACAGATTACGGCATCAAACCCAAGCAGCCTCGCTTCAGGAGCCGGGTGGCCCAGGAGCGGCGGGCAGGGCTGCGCAGAGCTGGCAAAAGCAAGCGCGACGAGCTTGACTTGCTGGAGTACTACTACAATGCCCGGCTGTGAGCCAGCGTGCCCCTCTGCCCACCACTGCTGCAGGACAGGGTAGGGGTGGCATGTAGGAATTGGGGGTGTGTGTGTATAAGGGTAAGCCCTGCTTTGGGTGGGGACCAGGGGAGATGACCTCCAGAGGTGTCTTCTGAGCATCATACAACAATCTCTGGCCTCCAGGGATTGCGGCCAGGGTTCTCAGACCAAACCTGAGAAGCTCCAGCTCCTCTCAGGGTCCCAAGGGAAGGAATGAGCCAGGGCCCAAACTCACTGTGGTGGGACACAAACAGCACGGCAACCCTGCTCCATGAACCATCATATTTAATAGTTGTTGCCATCACAGCAGATCCAGCTGAAGCACAGAGATCGCTGGCTGCAGGGATGGGAGAGCTCTTCTACCTCCCTGGTGCTTTGCATGGCTCCCTGTAGGCTTTAGCCCTTCCCCGCCTTGCTTCTGGCAGGGACCCAGCTCTGTGCAGGGGCTGAGCCCCACCAGCCTGGGGTGGCCCAGCCCTGCCGCTGCCTCTGCCCCTTGCAGCTGGGGGAAAAGAGGAAAAAGGGGCAAAGAAAATCTCCCCTCCCCAGGGTGCAGTTACCTGCCCAGCAGCCTTGTCCCTAGGGCCTGGCAGGGAGGCAATGCCCACCTAGGGCAAGCCCATCTCCCCGGCATGAGCCAGCATGTGGGTCTTGTTTGCTGTAGCTGCTGTGTCTTCATACTGCAAGAGTCCGACTCTGCCACTGCGTTAAAAATCACCCCAGAGGGATGTGACGGGAAGCTGGGCCACGGTCACAAGGAGGAGAGGCTGTCACCCCAGCCTGCTGCAGGAAAGGGCCCGAGCACGCTGCTGCCCACCCCTCTGCTGCTCACAGGCAGCGAGGGAGCCCTGCCCCGGGCCTGCTCCTCTTCCAGGCTCAAAGCAGCTCTTGTCCATGCACGACACGGGGAAGGGGCGAGATTGCAGCCCTGGCTGTGCAGGAGGTGCCTGTGCCAGCCCCTACTCCAGGTAGATGTCCTCCGTGGGGCACGTATACTCCACATACTCCTTGTAGAATTGCTGAAAAGCCCTCCTGCAACACAGCACCGGGCGAAGCTGAGCAGCGTCCTCCCTGCGAGGCATTTAGAGAGCCCTGCTTCCCTTCTCACCCTCGCTCCCTACCCTGCAGCCAGTTTGACCCCTCCAGCCCCTGACCCCTCCTGCATTAGCACCCAGAGCTGCCATCAGAGCCACAGGGTCTCCATCCTTGCTCTGATCCCCTGCACAGTGCACGACTTTCAGCCATCTGCCTGCAAAGCCTTGCACTGGGACTTGTTCCAGTGCTGTCAGGAATATGCTGCCCTGGGGCCCTGTCAGCCCTGGCTCTCGCCCCAAGCCTCTTGCTTGAGAGAAGAGGTGCCAGCCTCGGGCCAGGTCCAAGCCCCACACATATGGGGAGATGGCAGGATTCAGCCTGGCTACCCCGTTCCTCCTGCCCTTCAGGAGCGAGCGCCTCCCTCCCTGCCCAGCCAGGACTCACCCTACAGACTCCGCCAGTGGCTTTGTGGACTCCTCCGAGACGAAGACATGACAGGCAAATCTGTGGTCAGCAGGGTGCTTGGTGATGAACCCAAAATATCTGAGGGCAGAGAAAGAGGGTGTGACTGGACCAGCAGACAAGCAGGCACAGGTACCCCAACATCCCTGAGGTGCACCCACCCTTGAGAGCATAGGGGTTTGGGACCTGCACACCCCACCCCACCAAACCCTAGAGGCCACCAGCTGCCACAGCCCATACCCAGAGTGGGGATGTAATTCCCATGCAAAAGCAGCTTTTGCATGGAGCTGCAGCACCGGGCTCCCAAGGGAAGGGGAGCCCTCAGGACCGCGGGGGCTGGGAAGCCTCTCCTTCCCTTCCCAGACCCAGTCATGCTGCCCCCAGGGAGCAGGAAGGCAGCAAAGTCTCCCTGCCGAGCTGCTGGCCTTGAGAGCTGCCCCACACCTCCTTACTACTCACTTGTTGTTCTTTGGATGGTACCCACAAAAGGAAATGTTCTTCAGCTGGAAAAAATGGCTACACTTGTTTACCTGGAAGAGGGGAAGAGAAGAAGAACTGTCAAAGCTTTCCTCCCCACCACCCTGCAGGGCAACTGGTCTCTGGCCCCTGGAAATATGTGCTTGGACTGAGCAGTGAAATGAATTGGAGCCTGATCCTGGGCTGCTACCAGGAGCACTTTCGGGATGGCCCCAAGCGCCTGCATGCAGGGTGCTCTTCCAGGCAGCCCTGCTGGCTCCCACCTCCAGCAGCTCCTGCAGGGTCTCCCTGGAGGCCCTAGGTTAGGCTGTACTCAGGCTGGGGTCAGCGCTGCTGTTTGCCCAGTGCACACAGCCCTTCTCCCTTGCTAAAAAGGCTCTCGGGAATACCAGCAGGCAGAAGGTGAATGGATAACTTAGAACGAAATCAGTCATTTCAGCCTGGGTGTTCTGGTGTCCCAGCCAGAAATGAGAACTTATTTATACAAGTTCAAAGAGCAACCAAGCTGATGGCATCCTCTAGATACAAGCAGGACTTGCAGAAACCCCAGCCCAGTTCGCCACCACAGCATCCGCAGCCATGAACTACTCTGACCCCCCAGCTGTAGGGGAGGTTTCCCAAAGGCTTGCTGCAAAGCCCTTGCTTGCCTCTGCCTGGCATCTCACCATACTTTGCTAGGCTACTTATGGAGAACGCTAATCAGCAGCCTGTCACAGCCAGCTAAAGAGATTACAGGGCAGATCTGGAGGACACCACTCAAAATAGTAGCAGAAAGGTTTAGGAGCAGCTGACAGATTACCAGCATGGCTCAGCTCACAGCATCCCAGCGTGGCGATGCGCTTGGCAGCTGTGAGGACATCAGCCAGTGGCACAGCCCAAAGCTGGGAGCCTGTAGGGCATGAGGGACCCTGAGGTGGGCCTACAACCCCCCTGATGGTGTTTCTCACACCCTTAGATGGGTGGAGATCCTCCATTTTTGTATGCAAACATGACCTGTAGCAGAGGGGGCACGAGCCAGCAGCTGGGGAAGGGACGAGACGAGCAGGGAGTAGGGCACTACCTTGCTGTGCTCCTTGGAGTCATCGGCTTTCACGGCAATCTTGACCCCACGCACGCTGATCTCCAGGACGCAGCTGGAGGGTGGGTTAAAGTGCACAGTGAGGCGGCGCGTGGTGGCAATCTGGGGGGGGAAAGAGACAGAGAGACAAAGCCCTGGCGCTTGTGAGCAGTGATCACAGCTCACCCTTTCCCTTCCCTTCCTTTCCCCAGCGAGGCTCTGCCCCGCTGCCAGGAGGAGCAGGTGCTCCTGCTCCCAGGGGTGGGACGGGACACTACCTTCTGCATGGCCGCGCACAGCACATCGTTGCCCTTGTGATAGGGAACTTGTACCGAGCCGAGGAACTTCACCCGAAACTGGTCCACCCAGTCGCTGCTCTTGGCCAGAGCTGGAAGAGAGAGCACCCAGCAGAGATCGCCTCCGGTGACCAGAAATGTGGGCTGAGATCTACCTCCCCGCTCCATATTCCCACCCCTGTGTGTTTTGCTGCCTGGGGAAGGCTTCCCGCAGCACCAGGTACCAGCTCCCGCCATCGGGTCAGAAGCTGCCCATCGCTCCCTGCCAGGTGCCAGCTTGGTCCTCCCTCCGTCCCCCCGGCTCGGCACCAGGCTCTGCTCAGTGGACATGAGATGGGGGACATCAGCAGGCTGCATGCAGAGGCTTGGTACCTGTTACATGGTCTGGATCCTTGGTGACTTCGATAGCATAGTAGGCAGGAAAAATGCCCCGGTCACCCGTTCGCATGTTGTAGGCTTCGTACCAATAATCTTCTGCCTGCACCTCCACCAGCAGAGGATCGTCCACCTCCAGCTCCAGCTCATCCGCATGGCGAGGCACAAACCTGGGCAGGGAGGCACTAGCACCTGGCCAGCCAGCAGTGCTGGTGGCCTTCTCACCGGCACACTGCTGGTGCAGAGGGCAACACAAAACCCACCACCGGCCCAGGCAGGCAGCAACCTGGCGGGTGTAATTGGCCATAGGGACCTGAGATGCTAAATAAAGCATCTGAGCAGGTTTCAGCTCAAAAGGCAGCACCACCTTGGCACCTAAGGCAAGGGTATCCCTACGGCACCACCCGTGCTGCTCCCCACAGGTCCTGGCTGCCCTCAGAGGTCTTGCCCCTGCAGCAGCCTGGGCAGATGTTGGTCCTGGGCAGGACACAAGCTATGGGCAGTAGTTTGGTCCTCAGGGCTTCCCAAAAGCTGGAAACGCTGGGGTTTGGGCTGGCCCCACCATGGTGGGAGGGCAGCACCGGCTTTGCCCCATGAGAGGCTGGGGACACCACTCGCACCTGCAAGCTCACCTAAAGACAGCACGGTGAGTCTGCTCCTGCTCCTCCCCGTTGATCATGCAGGAGAACAACCCGAAGGATTCGGCACCTGGGGATGAAAGCAGAGGGGGACATCTCAACGTTGAAGGGTCAGCACCAAAACCAAGGCATGGACTTCAAGCCGAACAGGCCACTGATGTGCCTAGGCTATGGCTGGGCCGAGACAAAGGCGTGTGGTGCTGCACGAGAGAAAGGCAGGGCTGGAGCTGCTGCACCGGTGCCCAGTGGTCCCCACAGGGACCATGACCCCCCCTGTGCCACCCCACATAGCTGTGACAGCCGGTGTCACCAGCACCGTGGGACCGCCATGCCACAGGAAGCCCTGCCTGCTGGGGCATGCCACCAGCCCCAGTGCTCCTCCAAGCTCAGGGAGGAGGGGGATGCTCCAGGAGGGATGCTGTCCCACTGTGAGACCACCCAGCCTTCCCCTCAGCAAGGCCATAGCTTGGGCTAGCCAAAAAACACAGCCTGAAACACCTCTTGCCACCCCACCTGCAGGTCGTAAGGCTTTTCCAAGCCCCCCCCCCGCACCTCCCCAGGGACAAAGGCACAGGCTGCAGCAAGCAGAGCTGGTTCTGGTGCCTGCTGGTGGCTCTCCACCTTGCTGCAGGGCCCTGAGTGTGCCTTCAGCCTCGTACCAGGGACAGGCAGGGCTACCCGGGGAGGCTGCCACCAGCCCACCTCCCCCTCGGCACCCAGCACTCACTGGAGGAGCGCGCTCGGCCACTCATGAAGACGTTGAGGAACTTCTTGGAGAAGTGGATATCTGCCTCGGGGGTGGAGTCCTCGGAGAGACAGACGGAGTCACGCTTCAGCGCATCCTCCTCATACTCCTCACCGATGGCTGACTCGTAGGGCGAGGAGACGCAGTTGTCGTAGACAGTGGCCGAGTCGCTCTCGTCACTGTAGCCCGAGTAGCACTGCTTGAGGCTGACCAGCTCCAGCTGCACATTCTCATCCACCACCAGGGTGTACTTGACCGAGTCGTAGGAGAGGGCGCTGGTGTCCGAACTCACAGAGGCTCTCTGGAGGTTGTGCCCTGGCCGGGAGCCACTGCTCCCACCACCACAGGAGGCCCTGGGGAGGTTT